TTGTTTTTTTGATTCCTGCTGATTGGTTTTTCTTGCACATCCTAGGATTGTGGGGGACCCTTGCACTGTGGGATGGGCTGTAGCGCACTTGTAGCGAGCAAGGTGGATGGTAAGTATTCCTACATCTCCAAAAAAATTAAATTTTAATTCAGAAGCTTCACATGCTACTTGAATATGTAAAATATAAGATGTGATCAGAAAAGTGCATTTGAAGGGTCTGTTTTTTCTTTAACTTGAAAAATTCGTATTAAGTTTGGGGTACCCGTTTAAGTCCCTTAGCCTAAGCAGCACAAACATAAGCATAAAACACATACATGACACAGTAGGGAAGATATGTTATTGTTAAGATTTCTATAGATGATTAAATTTATCTTAACCCATCAGCTTAAGTTTTCAGGTTTATTGGTGATTTAATATGTTATCAGATTTGAATCTCTGTATTGTCATTTCCTCCCCATTTAATATTGATTTTCACTTGTTGGTTTTTGTGCAAATTTTCAAGTCCACAAGTGAGAGAGATTGTTAAGATATCTATAAATGATTCAATTTATCATAACCTATCAGCTTAAGCTTTTGAGTTCATTGGTGACTTAATGGTCATTTTCTTTAACATTTAAGACTGGAACACGACAAAGACATGTTCATATTCATTTTGAGTAATAAGTAAACATCAACATAAATCAGTTTGACCATAAGAATAGCAGGTTATGGTAGAAAAAAGAATGAACTACCAGACTAATATTTAATGAATTTATAGGCAAGAATGCGTTCTTGAGTATGTCATATCACTATACCAAGTATGAAAAATTTGTCGGAACATTTTACAAATGGCTTGTTAGGATTCTCATAATTGGGTGCTTGATGCATATATCATTTTTTTTAAAGTTCCATTGAGGAAAACATTGTTGAGGTCAGGTTATTTGATGGTTCAACCACATGTATGATAGCAGGTTTAACATTCAAGCTGAGAGGTTTGCCAAAATCATTATTGAGTGTTTGGTGGAAGGCTGTAAGGCAAGTTTTGTTCCTTTAGATGGTAGCATTTGAGTTATACTGGAGTTTATAAACCCATTTGTTAGCATTGAGGTTGTTGGCAAGGGGGAAAAAGAGTGGCATCCCAATAACTAAGAGGTCAAAGTTGAGACTAATCAAAAGAAGTGAAGTAGTAGAATAATGTTTGAGTTTGGAGATGCCAAGCACGATTAGAGGTGCCAGAGTTAAGGAGAATAAAGGAGGGTAGATGTGGATGAGAGGAAGGAAAAACTAAAAAGAGGATGGAGGACTTGAAGAGACGAGGGAAGTGAAGGAAATAGGAAGAGGCGTGAGAGAGGAAAAGATCGGGTCTGAAGGAGATGGAGTGGACAATGGTACGTGGTATGCTGCGATTGATTAGATAGAGGACATAAGAGGAATGTGAGTTGGGGAAGGAGGGCTCTCATGAATGGAGAAAGTAAACCAAGATAGAACTAAAGAGGATGTTAGAGGATAAACAAACTCGTTGAAAGAGACATGTTGAGAGGCAGACTTTCTAATAGGAACTATGCCCCTTATGAGACAGATTATAGCCTCTACATTTTGTAGTGTCAATCTTGGATGTTATGATTTTGTAGGGTTGAAGTAGAAGATAGCTATAGAAACGCAAGGATGAGGAGCAAGAACTATTAGGAGGAGTATGATAGAAAATTTCCAAATGAATTTTGTTCTGGAGAAGAGTAGGCATATGCTTAACTAGAAAGGCGGAGGTATGGATCATGCAACGATTAAAACAGTGCATATGGTTATTTATTTATTTTTAAATTGTAAAAAAATTAAGGTATATCCTTCAAAAGCAAGTATAGTAAAACGTCAGAAGGAGGCTTTTCGGACAATGTTTGGAAACTTTATGTTGTTCAAGACAGTTTTATATTCAGAAGCAATAATCTTTTTGCATTTCCCTTTTTGTTCACAAGAAAAATTGGGGCTTCATGCATCTTAAAATGTTATTTTCTTGGTTGTTTGAAGAAAATTTACATAGCCCTAAACTAAATCCGTTGCATAAATGCAGGCTATGATGTATGCACAACCATTGGTCATGCACTAAGCACGAACATTAGCATCTTTGGTAAGTCTTAGTTTGTACTTCATTATAATCATTGTCGTTCTTTCTGTTTTTTCAATTTTATATTATTATTCTCATTTTATTTTTGACCTTGTTTTTGCATGTATTATAAATAGTTTACCAAGTCCATTAGTTATATCGCCCGGGGTTCCCCAGTACATCTATATATGACTGTACTAGCTTTGTTAGAGTAAGTTTGACATACTTTTTAAAAAAAGTTCGAGGTACTTTTTATTTTTTAATATAATTTTTTTTAATTTATGAAAAAACTAAAAAATATAAATTTTTTTTTAAAAGAACATTTTTTCTATAAAAAATTCTTACAAAAATGATTTTAATTAAAATACTTGTATGTTCACTTATTTATATTTTTTTAAAGTGATCTTAATCGCATGTTTGTTTGATTGCACTATATCTAAAAGTGATTCTACAGATGTCAAATTACCATAAAATAATTCGGTCAAATCACTTTTGGAGAATCAATATTAAAGTGAATCTTAAAAAAATTATTTAAAACAATTTGATTACTTCCAAAGTGACTTTTATTTGTAACCAAAGACTTTAGTCTTTAGATTAAAAAAACACTTTTAGCCCCCCAAAATCACATAGGACGTTCAACCAAACACATTCTTAAACTACTTGGTATTGAAGCTTGGGGTACTTTATTGTTAGAGTGGGGTAAGGGTTTGAAAGTTGGGTTATCACTTTGGAGTGATAGATCATTAAAGCCACCTAGCCCGCATGAGTGTTGCTGTCCAAGAAGCTTGGATGTTGCTGCCAATCGTGGGAATTTGTAGTGCATGAGCTTCACTTCACATGTTGTCAAACAACTTGCCATCTCCATTCATTGGTGCTTAGAGTGCATGAGCTATAGTTTCTCATTTAGTTCACTGTACTCGATATATCTGCTTAACTTCGCTCTGCTGAGTGTATATGTGCTTGGTTTGATAAGAATTTGTTTGAGTGTGGAGCTGTTTTACAAAAGGGTTAGTTTCTAGTCTTCAATTTGATCCAGTTCTGTTTCTGTTCACATCTCTGTTCTACTTTGGTTTTGCATATTTAAATCACAGTTTGTGTCCCTCATATACTTTGTTGATAGTAGGACTAGAAAAAAAAGGTTGCAGTGATGGCTGAAGCAATTCCAATAATGTCAAAGAATTGATAATATATCATAAGTTAAATAGTTGAAATTGACGAAAACGGTTGCCAAGGGCTTCTCTGAATTGATTTCCTTGAATTAGTTGTCACAAGTGTTTTTGTTTGTTTTTACTCTCACTTTTATTGTTTTTTCCCTCACTCCTTTGGAAGTTTTTATCTTTGAACAATTTTTGTTCATTTTCATATATTCAATGAAAAGTTCGTATCTTGTTAAAAAAAGAATTGGTGAAACTATTATTTCAAAATTATCTCAGAACTGTGGTATAAAAGAAACCAAAGAATTTTTGAAGAAAAGGGTAAATTTTGGCTAGAGCAATTTGATCTAGCTAAATTTAGGGTTTCTCAGTGGTGTTTGCTCTCAAATTTATTTGAGCATTACTCGTCTAATCTTATTTTTCCGAATTAGGATGTATTTATTTTATCTCTGTAGTTTTGCTCTATTTTTTATTTCACATTTTCACTCCCTCAGGAATTTGTTTCATTGAACAATTTTTTTTCCTTTTTATTAATCAATGAAAAGTTCATATCTTGTTTAGAAAACAACAAACTTAAAAAAAAGAGAGAAAGGTTGGTGAATCAAGTTCTCGTTGGCATTCTTTGATTGATAATTATGCTTTTAATGATATATTTTTTTATCGGGATATGTTCCTATTCCCTTGTTAATTTTTTTTTCCAGCTTTCTTTCTCTCACAATATTGTATCCTTAAATGATTTTTATTTCTTCTCATCCATCGTTACTCGTTATGTCTCATCATTTGGATTGGAGCCCCTTTTTTGTATAGTTAGTTGTGAGGATCCCCTGGTCGCAGGATGTTTTAGGCTGGTTCTTTTTTGACACATTTGGCCTTTTCTTTTGTTCTCTTTCATCTTTTTCTCAATGAAAGCTTGGTTTTTCATATTAAAAAAAAAAAAAAACAGAATTTCTTGTTCCAAAAAAATACAACAATTGTCATTATATGCAAAGCATTGATATGGATGATCATATGATTGATATTTGACCTTTATATGGTAATTTTGTATTTTAGGTATTTTTGTACATCTCTATCCGGTGAATGAAGAAGATTATTGTGTGTTTTCACCCGTATCTCATTTAAGCTATAGACCTACTAAATTGTTTGAACCTATGGATGTTCTCCTTGGCCAAACTTTTTGTTCACCTATCTGCAGCTCATCCCTGCATGATTGAAGAAAAAGAACCAACTATTGTTTTTCCTTGGAAGTTCAACTTGAATAGTGTCCAATCGTGACCCGTGCATATGCATAATTTTTTATTCCATGACATTAGGGCCAAGTTGTTTAATGCCTTGTAGTGTTCACACTTCATGTGGAGTGTATTAATGATTTGTCTTATGTGGCAGATATTAAAAATCCCCAGAGAGGTGTCATTGTTAAGATGTCAAAAATTGACACTAAGGTCAAGTGCTCACTTTCTGTGTCTGTAATTTGTACGACAGATGGTATTCAGGTGTGCTTTGTCTCGTGATTTTTGTGAGTGTTACAGAAAAATAAATTATAGTTTGTTGATTTATCTTTCTGTTTTCCAGGCTCCTCAAACGTTGGAAAAGATGGGGCCCTGCGACTATGTGAGTTGCCTTGACTTTTTAGACAGCCGCTATCTTCTTTGCTTTTTGCCTATATTTCTTTGAAGTAATTTTGTTGGTTCATTATCATTATCATTTTAAAACTTTTTTCTTTTGCGCATCATTAAGACTTGTATATCTTTTGAGACGGTATTGTACAACCTCTTTTTAACCGTGACCTTGGTCAACATATTAACATTATGTCAACAGAATGAGAATATTTTTTTTGAACAGGAAATAAACTTTTCATTAAATATATGAAAAGGAAGAAAAATGGTCAAGGATTTAAACTTCCTAAAGGAAGTGAAGAAAAAAGAAAAAGTAACCACCAAGTAACGGAGAACCAAGGACAAAGACCACCAATTGCAAACCATCGAACAACATCGAAAAGGCAAAAGCCAAAAGAATAACAAAGAAACTGAAAACAGAGGCTTCAAAAAGCTGAAGAAGCCTGGCTGAAAAAACCCGAAACCAACACCAAGCAGCAAACTGAGAAGATGAAGTGAACTCAACCACAAGCAACCAGCAAGAATCTCTAAAAAATGATAAAACTTGGCTAAAGCCTCCACCTTCAAGCCATCCGAAAAAATAAACACCAAAGGCCAAGCCCCTCATAAACCAGAACCAAACGAAGCTTGAGGACCATTGCACCAAACAAAAATCGCAAAAACAATCTCAAACGAAACTCAAAATATCAACTCTTGAATATCTATGGAGGATCTTCGAAAAACCTTCCATTTAGGGCCCTGGGAACTATATGCGAATCTGATGAGTGTTAATAAAAAGGTATCCGAAAAAAAAAAAAGGACTTTAGATCAAGAAATCCGAATCTCTCCTCAATCAGAACTAAAGATCTTCAAAGATTTGGTAAAATTGGAACTAAAGTGATTCCAACAGCTTCAAAATAAGTAAACTAAAGTGAACTAAAGTGATTCCACATCATTGGTTGAGTAAACAGAATAAGAATATTGACATTGGAACTTGTAATATCTTAGTCTATCTTTCTTTCTTTCTTTCTTCTTCTTCTTCTTCTTTTTTGAGGTAATATCTTAGTCTATTCACCTTCAATGTTTCAATTTAAAAGCTAACTTTTTGTGAAATTTCAAGATGATTGATATCTTATTTGGACTGCCAAATTTATTTATTTATTATAAGATATAAATCTTGTACGTAGAAAATCTTAGAAGATACAAACAGGAGAGAGTAAGAAATTCTCCCAAGAACCAAAAGGAGCCAGAAAAGTACTGTTCAATTGACTTGTATTAGAAAAAACTCAGAAACATCTTTGGACAATGTAGTTCATCTAAATGTAAAGAAATACATCTGAGACATCATTTCATCATATGGCTTTAGCTGTTACCAGCATAATTTCATCATATGGGCTTAACTGTAATGGTTGAATTTGAAGCTTCTACCATTAAATCTTTGCTTAAATTTTGGATTCCGTTGGAAGTTGTTTGGGTTTCTTGTCAAATCATGGAGGGAGATGTTTAAGAAACTGTTGATTATCATTTTCACGGAACATTTACTCTTGTGGCTTGTGGATGATTAGCCAGTTTAAGGACACTTTCAGATGCCTGTTGATTAAATTGTGGTATAAGTTATCTATCATGTGAACACCAAAATTTTTGCAACATTTAGACTTCAGTTAATTTTTTTCCAATAGCCTATTTTTAGCATCACTTGTGAATCTTTGGTATACCAACAGGCTACGTCGTTTAGTCATCCATCCGGTTGTGCAAAGATTGTACACGTTGATAGAAGTGGCTGGGGCTTCTTTGGAGTCTTCATAACCATGTATGTCCTTACAGTTTAAACTGGCATGGTGAAAGTTACCTTATACATGTCAAGAAATATGCTAATATATGGTTCTGTTTTGGTAATTAACTGCTTGGATTTGCAGCATTTTGTGCCTTTTTGGAGGATATCTTTTGGCTGGGATAGTCTACCGATATTTTTTCCTCAAAGTTCGTGGTATTGATGTATGCATTCTTACTCTATTAAAAAATATAGCTGCAATGACTTTTCCTGCATACTACTAATAAACCAATATGCTTATTTTCTTTACATAATTGACAAAAGAAAAAGAAAAAAAGGGAAAGAAAAGAAAAGTCCCCTGTGGTGGCGGTGGGGGGCAAATTACAAGAAGTTGATTGCAGTAGATCTGGTAGTGGTGGAAATATTTAAGGTTTCATTTGATATTTATTTCGTTTTTAGTTTTTAGTTTTTGATAATTATGCTTGTTTTTTCTCACCTATTTTCTTTAATCTTTTTTTCTAAAAACATGTTTGTATTCTTAGCTAAATTTAGAAAAAAAAAACATAGGTGAAAGTAGTGTTTATAAGTTAAAATTTCAGAAACAGAAAATAAAAAGTATATGTAAGGTTAGCCTGCTCACTAGTCTCTTCTTCCAAAAGAGATCTAAAAATTGGATATTCTGTGTCATATTTTCTTCCAGATATTTCATGTAAAATTTCTGGAAACTGTTACGAAACTGGACATATTCTAGAATATTTCACTTGTTTTAGTGGAAAAAAAGGTGATTCCTGTCATCTCTTTCAGAGTTCCCCACTCTGATTTAATTTCAACTTGACAAGCTGGAATAGTCTTAGGAAGATCATATAGAATGAATAGTTGCCATTTCTCATCTTGAACGTGAGGAAGATATCCACTTGGCTCTGAATTTCCCAGTACATCTATTGCCTATATTATCCCCATTAGCAGTAAACCGATCCGATCTTTCCAAACCATACATACCAGTCATAGTAGAGTGCCACAGAGCAGTGCTTCTTAAGGAAAACTCTGCACCCATTTGGAAACAAGAGCTACACTTTTCTTTCTCAAGTTTCCCAAACCAATATCACCTGCTTCAGAAAGAAGGGAGATACCATAATCCGATTTCACCAGAAAGATGCTTTTGAGCCACAATATTATATTAAGGGTGTGTTTGGGAGTGATTTTGGCATGGTAAAATCACTTTTGCTATTTGCCAAAATTACTTCCATTTCTATGGATCATGTTTGGAAAATTAAAAAATCGATTTTAGGAAAACATAAAATCACTTAAAATTGATTTTGAAGGTATCACTTGGGTGGTGATTTTGGAAAATCAATTATTCTTAAAATCTTTTTTTTCAAAATCACTCCTTTCACCGTCACTCCAAAACACACGCCCTAAGAAGTGAAAGAAAGTGCTTCTTCTTCTATAAGTTATTGAATTTTTTGCCTTTTGCTCATTATGCCCCAATGCAAGAAAGTTTTATCATGTATAGAACGCTTGTGATGTTCTTTTTTGCACCCCCATTCTCTCCCCATACTAACCTGGGAAAATTACTTAGTTTCTTCATTCGCTCTCCCTTTTCTTTTAGGTTATTCCAAACCTGGAATTCTGGCTTAGCTTACCTCATAAAGTGCAGGTATTGTCATTTCTATTTTTTTTTCTCTACCTCTGTCTCAGCATTCTCTCTATCTATATCTCTCTCACATGCTTGTAACTGGATATCTCATTGCAGAGTTTGTTTGCATCTTTGGTACGAAAATTCAAGGGACCCTCTCGAGGTCATCGAGATAGTTACTCCCCGGTTGACTTCTGATCGCATACATTTTTCGCTTCAGATTGCTGGTGAAATTCCTAGTTTTGGTTGCACTTTTACTATGAACATTCTGCAAATGAAAGCTCTAATGGTTTTGTTTGGATAGGGAATTTTGCCACAAGAGGTCATCTCCTCCAATTGCATCAACAACCCTATAAACTGCTATGGAAAACTGCATTTTGTACTTGATGTATTAGAACAGAGAGAGAGAGAGAGAGAGAGAGAGAGAGAGAGAGAGAGAGAGAGAGAGAGGGAGAACGAACCCTTTCCTCCATAACATAACTCAGTCTTCTCCTAAGAGAAGTAGGCTTCATTTTTTTTCTCTTTTCACTGTAGTCCCCAAGAATATAGGTTTCTTTTTATTTTTTTCATGAAAGATGATCTGAGACAGACATATTCAGAGAAGTAGAGGGGTGGAGATGGTGGGAGATTTTGATTGGTACTATGGTATGTGTGAACTTTTGTTAAAAATGGGGAGTAGGAGAAGGAATTATTACATTGCTTTATTTATTTTGAATTGACACCAATAAAACTAGGTAGTGCTGATATTAGGAGTGTAGCCATTATTTTTTCTTGTTCTTTTTTTAATCACTTTTAAAATAAAACAAAATATTATTACCCATAGTATGGTTGAATTTTAATTTTCCTCTTTGTACTTTGAAAATATTATGTTTATTTAAATCTTAGATCTTTGGATTGTACTTTATTTAGTGTTATAGTGATATCTGTCTATAATAAAAACAGTATAAAGTTCAAGGACCTGACTGAAAATTATTAAAATTAAGGTATATAACCTATTACTATATTAAATTTAAGGAATTTGAAAACAAGAGGTGTTCCAAGTGCTCTTGATTTTTCTTTTAGAGTAAGCAATAGTTCTAAAATCACACTTTTGATTTGTATATTTCACAATTTGTAATCTTTATGTTTTGAGAATGGTGTTAAGCATCCCCATGCTTAGAAAAATATAAAAGTCATGCCTTTTCGTGAAATATATCTAATATCAAGTATATTAATGATATTGATATATTTCATTAGTGAAATATATCTTTATATCTTGAGTGTGATTGATATATCAAAAAGTTGCTATCTACAATTTCATAAATTTGCAAATCGCATTTTAAACCATTTTTGAAACACAAAATTATGGGTGTAAAATAGAGAATTCCCACTGGTATAACAGGTAATTATCCCTATGTTCATATAATTTGAAAAAAGAGAATCAGCCCATTATTTATTACTCCCTTTGGCTTTGCTTCTAAATTAGGATACAGATAATTGGTATAATGGTCCCTAATCACCCTCTTTGAGCTGGAAATTTTACCAAATACCCAATCATTCTTGTACCTAAAGCCTTTCCTTTTATTCTAGAGAGAGAAAGAGAGAGAGGTAGAGATAGAGTGGTGATAATTTTAAACCAATAATTTTGGAAAATGAATTAATGGCTTACCTTTAAAGCCAAGCAACAATACAATTACTCTCCTGAGCTATCATTCACCCACTACTCTTCTTCATCACTCCTTCCACTATCTTCACTCTAATTTTTTCTTTCCTTTATTCCTTTATTTTTCTCCCCTTTACCTTTTCCCTTCATTGCCCTGGATCTTTTATCTTATGATATGTTTAATGCCACCAACATATATTTACTAACTTAAATACTATTTTGATTCCTATACTTTCGATTTTGGTTGGTTTTAATTTATTTTGGTCTCTGTATTTTTAACTTTTGTTTATTTTGATTTTTATACTTTCAACATGTCCGATCAAAGTGATAATCTTGAAAGAGTATTTAAACCTATAAATAAAAGTTGATAGTATAGCGACCAAACTTAACGGTTTAAAACACAAGAATCAAAATGTACCAAAGTTAAAAATACAGGATCAAAAAAGTATTTAAACCTATAAATAAATTTCCAAACCGATATCGAAAAATGTATTCTTTTACCATATTGAATGAATCCCAACGTAAAATCCTGATAAATCAACATTAAAAAAAAAAAATCACTTTCAATACCTTAAATAAAATGACATATAAAACTTGATGCTAACTTCTCAACTATATTTACCAAAAGCATTTAAATTTTCTTTAATTCTTTATATTCTGTTACCTTAAGAGGCAATTTATTAATTTCAAATTAGGCCATATAAACTGACATTTAACCAAAACTAATAATATATATATACATATATATATATCTATTATGGTTGGGAAAGTCTTGTTTTTGTGTTTGTGATTAAAACTTGTCAAAATTATTGGCTTCTCAAAATGAAGCCTCCTTCTCCCAATTCCTCCTCTTCTCTCCTCAGAAAGCCTCGCTTCTCCCCTTACCTCTTCACTCTCTTGGCCTTCATCTTCTTCGTTGCCGTCCTCTACGGCGAGGACCTAGTCTGCATCTTCAGCCAGCAGCTCCAACTCGACCTCGCCTCCGCCCGCTCCCTGCCCGCCACCGGTGAGTTTCGCTTCCACCTGTTCTTATCAAGAATATGAATAAATTATTAAATATATCATAACTTTTGTACCTTCGCTATAAAAATTTAATGAGAATTTTTTGGATTCAGTGATCGATTTTATCTGGTAWTGGATAGTGTAAATTATGAGTTTAAGTTTTGGATTTATGAGTGATTTAATTGTTTTTGTTTTGAGAGTAATTTGGAGAGAAAAGGGATTGAATTTTTTATTTTTATTATTTTTTGGGTGGCGGTGGTTAGAGAAGAAGTGGGAGCAGTTGCCATTCGCCGTCGGGAAATTGGCGGAGGAAGGGTGTGACGTGTACAGTGGGCGGTGGGTCCGGGACGAGGTGACTAGGCCGCTATATGATGAGTCGGATTGTCCGTACATTCAGCCCCAGCTGACGTGTCAAGAACACGGCCGCCCTGACCGGAGTTATCAGTACTGGCGGTGGCAGCCTCACGGCTGCGATCTTCCAAGGTCAGTTTTGCCCCTCTCTGTTTTTATTATTATTTTTCTTTTTTGCCAACCTTCCATTTTCCACTAAAATAATTCTACAATTTTAACTTATTGAAGTTGTCAAAATGTGAGATTCTTTTTATATCAGTGCATACGTGTTATTAAGGAAAAAAAAGGGTTTAAATCTTCAATTTTAAAGAATATGTGCATATGCGACTATGTTTTGATGGACTTAAATAGGAGTTTAAAATAAACGATATTTAGGTATTGATCAGTTAACACTCATCTCTTACTATTATCATTAATTTTTTATAAGTAAGAGAGAGAAATGTAGAAATAGAGATATATTTTTTTTATTTGAAGATGCATTGAGCTATGTTCAAGTTGGCTTAAATTCTTAATTTCTTAATCGGCAAAGTATTATTTGTTTATTTCATCGGGGTTTCAAAGATTTTGAATATTTTGGTTTAGTTTTGAATTTTGTACGAGAAGTTATTTTAGTCTTTGATATCTCGATYATTTTAGAAAATTATGTACGAGAAACTTTGGTTTGGGCATATGTTTTTGTTCATTTTGTTCAAATAATACATGTCTATATAGAAGTATTTGAAGCCATAAATAGCATGTTAAGTATTGGTTTTTCAAATGAATTTGGATTCTTATTAAATTATTAACGAAAAATTGACAATAAAAACTAATATAGTAGTTTTAAATAAAGTTAAGGAGATTATGACAAATATTTGAAATTTGATGAACCGAAACAAAATATCTAAAATTTTAGAGATGAAACCATATAATCTACACAAATTCAAATACGAACTTGAAATTTAAACGATAAAAGAAAAAAAATTCTGAGGAGTTTCATTTATTTATCTATTTATTTATTTTATTTTATTTTAGTCYTAATGYGCTTCAAATTTTTATTCACTTTTCACCTTGAGTCCTTCATTTTTATTAAAAGTTTGTGTATCATTCTCATAGAGTTTTAACTATGATGGGAGGATTAAAATTGTGGTTTTCAAAAATTGAGAGAATGAAACCAAATTTTTTTTTTTTTAAATTAGGGACTAAAAGTAAAATTATAAAAGTTAAAGGACCAAGTAATAGAGGTTATGACCAAAGTAAAATTATACTATTAGTTTCATTTGTCCAATACATAAAATTCAATGAAATAATTTCTTATTAAAGAGAAGCATTCAGTTTTTTTTTTTTAATTATTTCAGTATTTTCAAAAACTTGAGCATGCAATCATTAAATGCTAGAATAATTTAGCAAATGAGATAAAACGACAACGTATTCCAATAAATATATTATTGTAATAACTTTGGAATCAAAATCGGCCGGCCCATGATCACGAGTGTGACGTGGGAGAACCAAGTTGGACAAAATTTGTGGATTTAAATGATTTCTAAAATTATCCTAAAAAAATGTAAAATTATAATTATATTAAAAATTAAAATTTTAATTAAGAAAGAATATCTAAAAAGAAAGCAAGTTGACGTAAGTGGTTGGTTTTGCCACGTCAGGCAAATTAATGCTCTCTCTCTATTTGCTAAAATTTCTAARGAAAATAATTGGTTCTACCATTTCCATTAAACCCTTTGAAATTAGAGGGGAGAAATGCAAAAATAAAAATTTAAAAAAATAATAAATTGTCAAATTTTCAATACTGTGAAGACAATATTTAGTTCTTACCGATAAGAAATCAAATATTTTCTAATTTCTATATTCACTATGTTTTTATCCAATAAATTGAAAGATTCAAGTGGTGATTAAAAGAAATATTAAAAATTTTTTAAAATTGATAATTAGGTGTATAATATGAATTGAAACTAAAGAATTTTATTTTCACTCTTTATGTAATATCAATATTTCTATCGACATTTTAAACTGAAAACTCTCAATATTTTTCCTAGAATCAAACATTTAACTTCGTAATGATGTACAAACTTTATGGAACTTCAATACGTAAACGTATAACCTAGTTCAATATATATCAATAATTTTTTTTGGAAGTCCTAAGTTCTAATCAAACATTTTTTAGTACAATAAATGTGACAAGGAGATTTGAATTTTTTTAAAAAAGTAGATGTCATTTTTCATTGAACTATACTATTAACGTYGGTTCTATCTAAATGTTTTAGATAAATTATATATATTTTTTAATGTGACATTTTTTTAAATATAGTATAAATTAACTTTTTTGGTATTTTATATTATATTTGAGTTATCCTTAGCTTTGAAACCATTTAACATTTTAGAAAGTAAAATTCATTTCGTAGTAATTCTTTTCCCAAAAAGTTAGCGAAGTTTATAAAATATACACTAAATTAAGGAAAAAAAAAAGATTTGCAAACGTAAATTCCTTATAAAAAATTTTCTTCAAATACTTACCGTCATATTTATAATGGCTGCAYTATAATTATATATATATAGATATATGGATTAATCAAAATATATGGATATTGACGACAATGTAAATTTTATGGAATCCTGACTTTTTATGGGAGAGAGGTGCTAATTATAGCTGAACTAATTCATGTTGGTGTTAGGTGGAAGATTGAACATTGAACTTTTAGATAATAATAAAGGTCGTTATGTTCTAATTCAATCTTTAATACTTATTAATTAATGATTTTTCTTTAAATATTTCATTGATATTTATATTATACATCAAAAATCTCAATTGTATCTCGATGTTGAACCTTTCAAYATATATATATTGATGAATACATTTGACATGTCGATTGATATTTTAAATCGTTTGACAAAAACAGTTTTAATGCGAGCATGATCTTGGAAGCCCTGAGGGGGAAGAGGATGATGTTCGTGGGAGATTCTCTAAATCGCGGCCAATATGTTTCGATGGTCTGTCTTCTCCACTCTCTAATTCCCGACCACTCCAAATCCATGGAAACTTTTGATTCTCTTACCGTCTTCACGGCTAAGGTACGTATGATTATGAGATATCGTTGTTCCCTTCCTCTAATGTTAAAAGGATCACTATTAAACATACCTATCACATCCAAAATTGAAAGTTTAAAAACGTAYTATATACACTTGTTAGGAGTACAACGCGACGATAGAGTTCTATTGGGCGCCGTTTCTTTTGGAATCGAACTCGGATAATGCAGTGATCCATCGGATTTCGGATCGGATTGTGAGGAGAGGTTCTATTAATAAGCATGGAAAGTACTGGAAGGGCGTTGATATTATGGTTTTTAATACGTATCTTTGGTGGATGACGGGCTTGAACATGAAAATCCTGTAAGATTTTTCTCCTCTATATATAGATCGTTGACATATATAACTAAAGGATAAATGACATCTACTTTTTCTATTGAGGTCAGGGATTTAAATTTTCCATATTCTATATTTGTTACATATAAACACACGACACCAATTGATGTATATTGGGTTATCTGATCGTGAACTTTATAAAATTTTCATCCATTTATTTCTTTGTTTTGCATCTATTTTTTAAAATTAAAAATAATAATTTTTGTTTGAAATTTGGGTAAGGGTACAAATGTATTTTTAAGAAATATATGATAACATATCAAAGAATTTGTGATGGAAAACAAGCATCATTTTCAAAAATAGAAAACTAAAAGTGAAATAGTTATCAAACAGAGTCTTTTAACTTTCAAATTTATTCTATTTTATGGTCTCGAAATTTTCAATGAGGTTTGTTTTAGCTAAACTTCGAAAAAAATGTCCTATTTTATTTTTTTTTAATTTTTAACCAAGGCATGAAGTGGCTTTGAGCATACCGTATGTGTACAAATACATCGACATGAATACATAAAAGTTCAGGGACCAAAATGAAACCTAAAACCAGTATAATATCAAATGAATAACAATGAAGTTGGATTACTTTGACAGGCAAGGGTCTTTCGAGGACGAAGTCGAAGACATAGTGGAGCTATCAACCGAGGATGCTTATCGAATGGCAATGAGGAGCATGTTGAGATGGGTGAGGAAGAACATGGATCCTAAAAAGACGAGAGTTTTCTTCACCAGCATGTCTCCTTCTCATGGAAAGTCGGTTTTCTCTCCCTCCAACTAAATCGTTACACACTAAAGTTCATGTTTTACATTTTTTTAAATGACTCTCATTTGGGTCCACAGAAGTATTGATTGGGGTGGTGAGGAGGGTGGCAATTGCTACAACAAAACGACTCTAATTGAGGATCCAAACTACTGGGGCTCCGATTCGAGAAAGAGCATCATGCAAGTGATCGGAGAAGTCTTCGGGAAATCAAAGTTTCCGATCACATTTCTAAACATCACACAACTATCGAGCTATCGTAGAGATGCCCACACGTCGATTTACAAGAAGCAATGGTCGCCATTGACGCCCGAGCAGCTCGCCAACCCCGTGAGCTACGCGGACTGCGTCCATTGGTGCCTTCCTGGTCTCCAAGATACTTGGAATGAGCTTCTTTTTACCAAACTTTTCTATCCTTATTAATTGTTATCCTCTTTGTTGTTTCATTGAGATTTTCTCCAAACGGGGTAATAGAGAAGATGGAGAGAAAATCTGTGTGAAATTCAAAGGGTTGAGCTGAGTTTTTTGGGAGGAAGATTTAATTTGTATAAAACATTAATTGTTTGATATGTTTGTTATTTCTTGGAAATGTAAAATTATGATCAATTAATTAGTTGAAGAAAATTATATTTTGGTTTACAAAATTTAATTGTGTGTAAATATGTATGATGAGGTAATTGTGGTAAAATTGAGAGTGATTTTAATAGGTTCAAAAGTACTTTTGCTAGAGTGAAAATCACTTATTTCAGGGTGAAAGTACTTTCTCTACTTAAAATAAGTCTCACGATTTGAAAGTAATTTAAAAGTTTTTTTTTTTTTTTTGAAAAAATCAAAATACTTCAGACAACTTTTCCCACTATATAACAAAATTACTTTTAAATATTTTACTTCATGTACATTATTATTACTAATAGCATTACTAAGAATAACTAAATTTATAGCCTAGTGTCTATTAATATATTCATAAATTCCCAAAGGGTAAAATCATCTTTATTGATGGTTATTACCTTGCTAAATTAATCATAAGCTCTAAGAAACTATTAAATATAGGCTCTTTCAATTTTATAAATGAATTAAAATATATGATATTTCAAATTTTTTTTACTAAAATGATTCTTGATGTCACATCAGAAATTTTGTTTATAAATTTTAATATGGTGTGATAGTAAGAAATTGATTGAGAAAAATTGTAAAACTTTCAAAAGATTAAAGATAAAATTAGAGAATAATTCAAATATTAATCTAAGTAGGTAAATGTTAAAAAGACTTCTGTATCCCTAAAAAGACTATACACACACATATATTTTTTTTTGCAAAGAAAAAAAAAAGACTATTTTGAAGTAAAAGAAGAGTATTATTCATGGAACAACTCCCTAGGAGAACTTCCCCAATATAGGAAAGGGAGTAGACCTTTCTGTACCTTTTTGACCATAACATTTTTTAAAACATAAAGTTGATTATTCTCTCTCTCTCTTTTTTTTTTAATTTTAATTTTTGTAAGCATAATATCTCTATTTTTTTACTTTAGCTTATTTTGGTCGATCTATTTTGATACGTTGATTTTAGTATATSTAGTTTCAACTTTGATTTATTTTTGTCATTTGTACTTTCACAAACGTTTATTTTGGTTCTTATACTTTTAAAAGTGACCAATTTGATTTTTTTTWAAAAAAATTTCACAATGAAAACTTTTTGATACAAATTTATGATTACATTTCAAAAAATTTAGTGAGTGAAATGTGAGGATAAAATTATGATCGAAATAAATGAGAATAAAAAAGAAAATCAATTGACTAAAAGGATCATTTTTTAAAGTACAATGATCAAATTAAACGTTTCGAAAATTCATAGACAAAAGTTAAAATACAAAGGCAAAAATGTATGTTTGGAAGATACATACACTAAAATGAAACAAAGTCAAAAGTACAAGGATAAAAAAAAATTGTTGACGGTGAATTTTGGAGACGTTCACGTGTTTCTCGGACGAATAATGTCACCAAGGAACAAATGGGCTTGCAACTAGAAAACTCGTCGCCGGTGCGGTGTCCCGCCTAATAGACTCCGACGCTCATATTAGAAGTCAGAATAGGGAAATAGGAAAAGACATCTTTAGTGTTAGTGTCAAGTTTTTCACTTATCTGGTGAARGTGAGGGTCATTCCTTCTTATAGGCTCGGATGGCCGACCAGGAAGAACGATAGTTGGGGATGACAGGGTCGTGCCAAGCGATACGGTGCCTGATGGGAGTGTACGCCCCCAATAATGGGTGGGTGGCACCTCCACCTGTAGGCCTGGAGCCTGTTGTCTGTCGTTGGTGGGTTGCGGGGCTCGGTGTGCTCCCCGTACCCGAGGAGTGGAGGCACACCCCCTGTCATCATAGTGTACGATGTGTAACCGTCTGTGGTCTCGAGCCTCGCAATTCTATCCTGCTCGATTTTACCCTCAACAAAATATTTAAACCTAAAATATAAATATAAATATTTATCGTTTAAAAAAAATATAATAAATAAATAAATAAAGATTGTTTTGGTTCTAGTTTATTTCGATCCTTATCACTAATTTTCTTCGTTGCATTAAAAAACATGACATCTTTATTGTTTTGTCTTCTAGGCCACATGTATTAAGTGCATTAGCAATTATAAAAAAATTAGTTAAAGATTATTTTTTTCCCTTTGAATATAACACGTAGAAGAAGGAGATCGAATGTGATTGTAGATATAGACGAGTTAAAGGTGAGCGCTCACCGTGGTAGCAGTTAAGATTTATAGTAAAACTTTACTATAAATTTTTTGTATTAGCTAATACAAAAAATTGTTAATAAAGATTAAAAAAGTTGAATAAAAAGAGAATATATTTGAAAATATAAGAACAAAAATAAAATAAGTTAAAAATTTTAGAAATCTAAATTTGATTAGCTTAATATATCATTGGTCGCTAAAATTTACACTATATCCTTTAATTTGTGGTTTTTAATGCTATGAAAATTTCAAATTTACCCTTATTAAAATGTGACAATAAAATCTTATTYAATCTACTCAAATTGAATGAAATAATAATATGATATTTTAATAGATTAATTTTTGTGAGCTAGCATTTTTTTAATATTAAATATCTAACTCACCCCACCTAAATCTGAAAAAGAGATCTAGATAGTTGAATATATTGAAGAATATTTTTTTAATCTTCATAATATTAAAGATAAATTTAAAAACAAATATATATTTCGTGGACCAAATTATATAGGTAGCCAATTGGATATAAAAAAAATGAAGATATATTACTTTGGTAAGAAAAGACCTTAAATGACACACCTAAGACAACTATTATTGATCATTTATTATTTTTGTTTTTGAAGAGTTCATTTCTTGTTTTTTAAAAAGAAATATTATATATATATAAAATAAAAATTTCATGATCATATTAGTGATTTAAAAAAAAAAGTGCTTTTAGAAGAATCACTTAATTAGTGTTTCTTTCAAAATTAGTGTCTATAGAAACTAAAGTAGTTTCTCTAAAGACACATTTTTTAAAAAGTCATTCTAAATTCAAGAGGAAATTTGGGTTGTTCTATTTATTTTTCGCCTCTACTTAAATAAATTAGGGTGAATTGTTTTTTTATTCACATTATCTATGACAACATATTTAACATTTTTTTTTAAATAAATGACTTACAAACGTTTGTTTGTTGAATGTATTTTAATATTTTTATAAGTATTCAAAAGAAATTATTTTAACCAATTGGAGATGGAGATTAATATTTTTTAATACTACGTGGAGATGGAGATTTGAAATCACAATATTTTGGTCGGAAATATATATTTTAACTAGTTTAGCTATATTTCGGATGACGTATTATTAATAATTTTAACCAATCAAACTATATATTTAGATTGGTATACATTATATCATCAAATATTATTTCTGTTTTTTACTCTCTAAAAAAAATTGCACACATTTTTTTTAAGGAAATTTGTATTAAAATATTATCCTACCAAAAAGTTTTCTACCTAAAAAGTTTTTTTTTTTTTTTACTTTTAAGAAACACGACGTTTTGTAAATATAGTAATTTTAACTTAAATTTCTAATTCAACCCTAATCTTGAAACGAAATCAACAAATGGTTATAACTAAATTGAAACAAAGCATAAACCATAGAGATTAAAATTGTAATTGCCCCTTAAAATTTATAGGTTGAAGTTGACTTACCCAATCAAATAGGAAGGTAAAAGATATGTAGAAATTATTTCCCAATATTTATTTCAGCTTTTAATTATTAGAAAATGAGAAATTTTTAATTTTAGTTTTTAACCTATTGGTTGGAGTTATACGCCAATTACCAGTGAGTATGCTCATTTCATCTGCAATTTAATGAAATTGATATGCTAATATATGTTTTATTAATCCTAAAAAGTTTTTTCAATTTTGTCTCTTTTATCTAAAAAGTTTTAGAATGTACTTTGTCATCGTATTTTTCCTTCTTTACTATCGAATCAATCGTCTATTCGATCCACATGATAATCTCTGTGTCGATGGATGGTTGACCTCTTATCACCATCGTCAAATTCATCTTCACTTTTGTTTAGATTTTCAGATCGTACTTTATTGATAGCGTTTTGTCCTGCCCTCCTATTGAGGTGACATAGACTCATGAACGATGAAATAAAAACTGCATTATTATTTTAAAAAAACATTGTTAAAAGTAATATTTAAAAAAAAATAGCTCTAATTTTAATAATATTAAGAAAAATTCCCGTTAAATTTAGGGTAAAAATTGATTTTTTTTTTCTAAAACAAAATTTATAAATTGATTTTTAAAAAATGACGTCAGCACATTAACCACCATTTTAGACCTCCATTCCTCAAAATTCACTCTCTCTTTCTCTCTAACTTTATCACTTTGTAAGCCTTCAAACTGAATCTCTCTCCTCTCTCCAACACCCACAGTTCTGCAGAAACCAGTGGCCGCCGCCGCCGCCGCCGCAACATGTTCCTCAATCATTTTCAGTGGCCAACACAACAGTGAAAACTGAACAGCCTACTCCATCTTATCCATATTCTGCAGAAACCTGCAGCC